GGCACCCTGGAGTATCACAACGCCAAGGTCGTGGGCACGGAAGAGGCAGAGGACGGCTCCGCGGCTGTGCGGGGCCTCTACCTGTAACCCACGCACAAGTCTCTGAAGCCCTGTCCCTTCTTCCTGGAGGGCAAGTGCCGCTTCCTGGACAACTGCAGGTAAAGCTCTGCTCCTGGGCCCTCAAGCCGCGGGGGGCCGTGGCTTCCCTCTATGCGGGCTCTGGTCCCTGTGTGTCCAGCAGAGTGCCAGCAGGAGGGAGCGCGCCCCTGGGGCATTCGAACCATTGTCCTTGTTTGGGTGTTTCCTTGGATTTTCTCTGGTAAATCAAGAGTAGAAGAGGCTTATGTTGAAAAGAAGGGACTTCCCCCATCACCAGTTTTATTCTTCAGAGTTAAACTTCTAAAGTTTATGCTTATTATGGACATTTGCCACCAGGCACAAAATTGGAGAGGGTGGTATGGTGACCTCCCACGTTGTCATCTTGTTCATCATTTGTCATCCTTCTGCCAGTCTTGTTTCATCCCCTCTCCCTGTCCTGCTTCTCTCCCCCTCGACCACTTTTAAGAAGATTGCAAGGGTGCCCTGACCGGCTTGGCTCAATGGATAGAGCGTCGGCCTGCTGACTCAAGGGTCCCGGGTTTGATTCCGGTCAAGGGCATGTACCTGGGTTTCGTGCACATCCCCAGTAGGGGGTGTTCAGGAGGCGGCTGATCGATGTTTCTCTCTCATCGATGCTTCTAACTCTCTATCCCTCTCTCTTCCTCTCTGTAAAAAAATCAATAAAATATATTTTTTTTTTAAAAAAAGAAGATTGCAGGGGTGACTGGGTTTTTACCTATAAATACTTCAGGATACACCTTCACCTGACTGTTAAGGATGTTATAAAAAAAGGTCTCCAGTTCATCATCATACCCAACAGATTTAACCATAGAACCTCATCTGTGTTCAAGTTTCCACAGTTGTTTTGTCTTTCTCTTAGAGCATACCTTCAATTTTGTTCCTTTTATTTCACCTCTGAAAGGAGTATTTATTGAAATCCCTAGTAGATAATTTACATTTTTAGGCAACAGTTCAGAGTAACTGTCTCTAGTTCTTTGGTCTCTCTATCTCTTTTTCTTTCTTTTGTTTTGTTGTTAATCTTCACCCGAGGATATTTCATTTCCAGAGAAAGTGGCAGGGGTGGATGGGTAAAGGGGGAAGAGAAATATCAATGTGAGAGAGACACATGGATTGGTTACCTCCCACCCATGCCCCGACCAGGACTGGGGTTCAAGCCTGCAATCTAGGTAAGTGCCCTTGACTAGGATCAAACCTGGGACCCTCCAGTCCACAGGCTGATGCTCTGTCCACTGAGCCAAACTGGCTAGGGCAGTCTTCCTGTTTTTTTTTTTAATATATATATTTTTATTTATTTCAGAAAGGAAGGGAGAGAGAGATAGAAATGTCAATGATGAAAATCATTGATAGGCTGCCTCCTGCACACCCCTACGGGGATTGAGCCCACAACCGGGGCATGTGCCCTTGACCGGAATCGAACCTGGGACCGTTCATTCTGCAGGCTGATGCTCTATCCATTGAGCCAAACCGGCCAGGGCCTTTCTATTTCTTAATAGGCTTTTGCTAGGTTCCAAGTCTTATTTGGCAAATATCTCCTCCCTCCCTCCCTTCCTCCCTCCTTTTCTGCACATTTGTTAAAGTTTAGTGTATGTGCAGAAAAGTGGGTAGGTCAGAGTGTCGTGAGTTTCCCCAGTGGACACATCGTGTCGGCAGCACAGATGCAGGAGCAGAGGACTCAGCCTTTCGGCCTCTGTGCCAGAGTCTGTGTTCCCCTGTATGATGTCCCATGCAAGGGCTAGCGGTGGCACCTCTAAACTGCCTCCTCTGCCGGGCACTGTCCCCAGGTCTCTGTCTCACATGTTAACTCACCTGGGCAGCAGTCCCGGGAGGTGGGCCGCGACCACTGAGGCTGCCCAGAGCTACTCCGCTTTCCAGCACGGCTTTAGGCCTGCTGACTCCCCCCCCACACCTCCCTTCCTCCACCCAGGACTGAGGTTTTTTTAACATTTGCTTTGGGTCTTTACAAACAATAAAATAGATAACATGGAGTATCCTTTGACCCCCACTCTATCCCATGCCTCCCCCTCCCGGGAGGCTGTCCTTAGCACTCTGGTGTGTATCTCTTTTACAAGACAAACTGGTGTGCACACTGGTTTCTCCGCTCACTGCCAGGCCCACTGTGTCTGAGTGGCTGTGCATCCTTTCTCCCTGCCCTTCCTGGCCTCACAGTTCCCCTGTCAAAGGACTGGACCATTTTATTTTATTTTAAATATGGAACACTTCACTGAATTTGCATGTCATCCTTGCACAGGGGCCATGCTAATCTTCTTTGTATTGTTCCAGTTTTAGTATGTGTGCTGCTGAAGCAAGCATAGGACTGGACCCTTTGAGCCAGCATTGAAGCCCCTGGCACGGTCCAGCACACCCCCTCTGTTGCCTGCAGGCCAGCAGTGGGGTCCAGGGACCTGAGTGCATTCGTGGCAAAGACTCTAGGTGCATCAGGAGGCCCCGGTGACTGGCTTTCCTTTGTCACGTAAACAACTAGTGGTACTCGGTGCCGTTCGTGGCTTCAGCTGGAGTTGCGTATAGGGATCTCTTTCCTCTGTTGGTTCATTTCACTTATTAGCTGGAATGGTACACGGAGACACCTCCCTCGTCTATGGTTTGCTGCTCAGTGGCTCAGTCACAGAAAAGGTGGGGAAATGCTGGGGTTTTCTGTTTTGTTTACTTAACAAGAGAACCAATGAGTCGGTTCTCTTTCATCCTGAGAAGATGAGGACCCATGTATTTAAATATATTTGATGAATTTCAGTCTATTGTGATTCTGATCCTTAATAAGGCTCAGACTGTGCCAACTTTTTATAAAATTTTAAATATATTTTTATTGATTTCAAAGAAGAAGGGAGAGGGGGAGAGAGTTAAAAACATCAATGATGAGAGAGAATCACCGATCGGCCGCCTCCCGCATCCCCCCACTGGGGATCAAGCCCACAACCAGGAATCGAACCATGACCTCCCGGTTGAGGTCAACACTCAACCGCTGAGCCACACCTGCTGGGCAGATTGTCCACCTTTGGCAAGTGGGAGCTTCTTCTAGATGGCGCCTCTGGCCCCAGTAGTTGTTACTTTGGTAATTTGTGTGTTTTTATTATTTTTCCCTTTCCATCTGAGTTACCTAATTTGTTGGCATAGAGCTGCTCACAGCAGTTGCTGGCAGTCCTGTATGTCCTGTAAGGTGGGAAGTAGGTCCCCACTTTCTTTCCTGGTTCAGTCTCTTGAGTGCGCTCTTATTTCTTGGTCAGCCTAGCTCAAGCTTTGTCAGTTTTTTTAAAAATATATTTTATTGATTTTTTACAGAGAGGAAGGGAGAGAGATAGAGAGTTAGAAACATCGATGAGAGAGGAACATCGATCAGCTGCCTCCTGCACATCCCCCACCAGGGATGTGCCCGCAACCCAGGTACATGCCCTTGACCGAAACCGAACCCGGGACCCTTCAGTCCGCAGGCCGACGCTCTATCCACTGAGCCAAACCGGTTTCAGCTTATTTTATTTTTGGTTGTTGATTCCATATTGTTTTTCCTTTTTTTTCTATGGCATTTATTTCCACTCGTGCCTTTACTATTTCCTCCTGTGCTGCTGCTTTGGGTTCAGTTTGCTCTTTTTCTGATTCTTCACGGTGTACGGTGAGCTCAAGGACGTGAGGTTTCCCTCCTCCTACTGCAGGCATTTGCAGCTGCTTCCTCAGAACCCCCAGCTTCAGTGTGTTGTTTCCATGGTCATTCAACTTGAGTACTGCCTGGCCCCGACCCCTCATCGGCCCTTGGTCAAGATTGCACTGCTTAATCTCCACATATTTGTGAATCTTCCAGATTTCCTTCTGTTGTTGATTTGTAAACTCAGTCCCCATGGTTGGTGGAGGTACTTTTTATGATTTCAGTGTTTTAAAATTTATTGAGACCCGGGTTGAGGCCCCCCGAATGTCCTGTCCTGCAGAATAGTCTGGTCCCGGGGAAGGCGGTGTGCTCTGCAGCTGAGTGCTGGAGGGCTGGCTGGTCCATGCTGTTGGCACACCCAAGTTCTCCCCTTCCTCAGAGTCTTGTCTGGTTTCTCTGTGCACTGTTGAAAGTGGGGTGTTGGTGTCTCAGCTCTTATCCTATTTCATCCTTTAATTCTATCAATTTTTATTTCATGTATTTTTGGGACTGTGTTGTTAGGTTGTAAAAGTTTATAATTATATAATCTTCCTCATCGGTTGATGCTTTTATCATTGTATTTTTCTTTATCTTTTTCTTCACTGATGTTACATTTGACATTCACTATTATGTTACATTAGTTTCAGGTGTACAGCATTGCTCTTTTCTATCTTGACTGGAGTCTATAATGTCTGACACCAGTGTAGCCATCCCAGCTTATGGTACTACTAGAGGCCCGATGCATGAAATTCGTGCAAGAGTAGGCCTTCCTTCCCCCGGCTGCCAGCACCGGCTTCCCTCTGGCACCCGGGACCCAAGCTTCTCTCCCTCTGGCCGCCGGCAGGCACCCGGGATCCAGGCTTCACTCACAGCCCCAGCTCCGTCCAGAAGGACGTCTGGTCTAACTAGCATTTATGCTTTTATTATTATAGCAGGGGTCCTCAAACTTTTTAAACAGGGGGCCAGTTCACTGTCACTCAGACCGTTGGAGGGCCGGACTATAGTTTAAAAAAAAAACTACGAACAAATTCCTATGCACACTGCACATATCTTATTTTAAAGTAAAAAAACAAAACGGGAACTGTTGGTAAATGTTTCCCTCCACGTCCTGCGTGGATCAGCGTTCAGGACCTGGAAGCGGAGCTGCACACAAATGAAAAAGCAAAGACACTAGATAATTTGGAAATATTGGGGGACCAGGCGAGTAAGTCCAACTCAGGAGGAAGGGATTCCTCCCCTC